AGTGAGTGATGCTAAAAGCACATTCCGTTTTCTCCAAAACAGATTAGCGTAATTTTATGTCTGTGATACATCACTCTGAATGTGTCATGAAATATACATCAATAACCATAATAAAATGTTGCCAGATTCACATTAATCTACTTTAGATAAATCCGAATCCACTTTTAGCGCCACTCACTGGACATTTTATTTTTATTTAGTAAAAAAGCTGCCAGATTTACGATAATATGTTTTGGATAAATTTGAACCTGCTTTTAGTGCCACTCAATGGACATTTCTTTTCAAAATACTGCGATTCAGACAACAAACAACAAAATGGCTCTTACAAAAGCGTTACCAGATTCACAATAAACTGATTTGTATAAATCTGAATGCGCTTTTGCACCACTCATTGGAAATTTCACTTGGAATGTGCCCAATGAGTGGTTCAGAAGAAGTGTGTTCAGTTTTAACCGATACAGATGACCGTGAATCTGGCAACATTTTATTACATTGGCTGACCTACGTATCGCGGCACTTCGAAAATGAAATCGGTAAATGCCACTGAAGGCTTAATGTACTATCACATTTAAAAATAACATAATACCTACATTAAACTTAACGAAAGCAAACGTGACATAAAAACACATTTGCTAAAGGAACCATGCTATTGCAGCTTGATTCAATGAGTCTTTGAGCACTTTTATTGTGTTTTACGGGACTCGACGGAAAATAAAAGTGCAATGCTGTACCAGGTGAACTACTGAGCAAGTTTATTACATCAGAAAAGCCATAAAAGAAAAGTCTGAGATCTCAATATGAGCTCTAATATTTATCATTAGATTCTAACGATATCACATGATCTGAGCTGATATTCACATTTATATCAGAGCTTTTGTATGACAGATATTCTCTCTATTCTGTCACCAAAGTAATTTTAGGGGAAAAGTTTATGCCTAATAAAACATGAACGAGAACTCACAATCTCCTGAGCTATAAAATAGCAGCCTCTGAGCAATATAACTTTCCACTGGGAAAGCAAGCCAAGAGCTCTTTTGTGTTGAGTTTCTCATGAAATTGTGTGAAACCGAGCCAATTGCTCTTGTTACTTTTGATCTAATCAATAAATTGAATCTCTTCTTCTCTGGCACTGGGATCCGATACGTCCCTCCAGACTCCATTGATCGGCACATCCTTTGAAAGCTTTCTTTGGAAGCACTTGATTTTAGAGTATTAAAGAAGGAGGTAAAGAGGGGTGAAGAAACACACCAATATAGAGCGAGCGAGATTTCACATGCATCAATTCTCTCACGACCTCCATGAAATACTGTACATGCTCAACACGGTAAAAAGAAATGCCCCTAAAATCAGAGCCATCCAGTTCTTTAATAACATCTCAGGAGGGCGATTAGTCATTGAGAGCGAGAGAGTCATTACGCCTCACTGAGAGAGTCATCAAAGTAATGCCTCACAGACAGAGATACTACTACACCACTGCACAAGAGCTCACCGAGAGACACAACAACACCTCGAGTGCTCCGACATCAGGAGATTTCAACTTTCCATTGATCTCTTATAAAATAAAAGTTTTGTGTACTATGATAACATACTGTAATTTTAAGGCAATACTGGTAACACTTTATATAGAATGCATTATAAAAGTAGTATTATAAGAATAAAACCTTATAATGCATTGCATGAATAATTCTAACCACAGTTTTAATACATTATGATACTTATCTATGCATTGTTACACTTTTTTTTTTTAAAAACACAACAAACAAACCTCATATTATTATAATGCATTTTAACGTTGGTTACAATTACTCATGAAAAGATATAATGCATTACAACGTGCATTATGAATACCTTGCATTATATATAAAGGTAGGTTTAATCGCAACATTCTCTGTAATTTTATGATTTTTACTGTACTTTTTCATTTGAAAGTGCAGGTTTATACATGTAACACTACTCTAATAGTCTAAAGAAAAATATATGCTGTAAGCTAAATACTTAATTGTAACAAAAAAAAACTTGATTGTTTATATTTATTATTGTATATTTATAATTAGTTTTGGCTTTTGTACAATGGAAACAATAAACAATGTGTTCTTTAAATTGATTTGCAATTTTCACACAAAAATAGTATTTATTTAAAAAACAAAGTATATACTGCTGTTCAAATCTTTGCTGTCAGAATTTTTTTTTTAAAGAAATTAATACTTTCATTCAGCAAAGATTAATTAAATTGATCAAAAGTCACAGTAAAGACATTTATAATGTTAAGAAAGATTTCAAATAAATGCTATTCTTTTCAACTATGTATTCATCAAAGTATCCTAAAAATAAAACGCATCATAGTTTCCACAAAAATATTCAGCAGCACAAGTGTTTTCAACATTGATAATAATCAGAAATGTTTCTTGAGCAGCAGATCAGCATATTATTATGCACTGTAAAAATTCTATATTCCTGTGCTACTCTATTCTGTTATAAGCTAGCTATATGTGCATCATGTGTAACATCTGAAACTATTTTTTACATTCTATTACACTTTATTTCATTCATTGTTTTTACTTTTTCATATATATATAGACTCTTCATTTCTATTATATTCTATTCTCATCAGTTCTGTTATAGTCTGTACTGTATTGTACTGTACACTTCTGTTCTATTATTCTCTATATAACTCCATTCTATTGTACTGTTCTCTATTCTGTTCTATTCTATTATTCTCTATATAATTCCATTCTATTTTACTATTCTCTGTTCTGTATTCTACTATATTCTGTTAGTCTGTTCACTGTTCTGTTCTGTTATTCTCTGTCTCTCCGTTCTATTCTGCTGTTCTATATTCTGATCTATTCTATTCTATTCTACTGTACACTGTTCTATTATTCTCTATATATCTCCATTCAATTCTGTTATCTTTTCTTCTGTTATATTCTATTCCATGTTACGCTTTTCTGTAAAGCTTTGCTTTTATTATATTCTGTTCTATTATATTCATTTATTCTATACACGCTTCGGTTCTATTATTCTCTACAGAACTCCATTGAATTCTACTGTTCTCTATTATATTGTATTCTACTATGCACTTCTATTCCATTCCATTATTCTCTATACAACGCCACTCTATTCTACTGTTCTATATTCAGTTATAGCATATTCTATTCTACTGTACACTGTTCACTGTACACTATTATTCTCTACAACTCCATTCTATTATACTGTTCTATTCTTCTATACACTCTTCGGTTCTATTATTCTCTATATATCTCCATTGAATTCTACTGTTCTCTATTATATTGTATTCTACTGTACACTTCTATTCCATTCCATGATTCTCTATGCAACGCCACTCTATTCTACAGTTCTATATTCAGTTATAGCATATACTATTCTACTGTACACTGTTCCATTATATTATTCTCTCACTCCACTCTATTCCACTGTTCTCTATTCTATTCTACTGTACACTTCTATTCCATTCCATTCTTCTCTATACAACTCCACTCTATGATACTGTTCTATATTCTGTTCTAGTATATTCTGTTCTACTGTACACTGTTCCATTCTATTATTCTCTATAACGCCATTCTATTCTACTGTTCTCTATTCAGTTCTATTCTATTTTCTCTATACAACTCCACTCTATTCTACTATTATTGTTAGCTATTCTATTCTATTACATTATATTCTACTGTACACTATTCTATTTATTTTTCTTTGTACAACTCTATTCTGTTCTATTATATTCTACTGTACGCTATTTCTTTCCCATTCTTTTCTCTACAACTTTTCTATATTCTATTCTATTCTGTTCACCTGTACTGAAGCTGAAACATGAAATTGTAGCTCATATTGTGTTGCACACGAGAGAAAGACATCAGAGGAGAACAGAAGGAGAGAGAAGTAGTGTGCACTAACCCCTGAACACCATGTTTCTGTCTGTAAAGAACGCAGGCGAATCCTCAGGGGCGTTCACACAGGACGTGTTCTTGCGTTCAAAAGCAGACAGACGCAGCGCACTGGCATGGAACTGAACGCAGGGGGGCTCGCGGCGCGTTTGTAAAAGTTTAGCTATTTTTAACGTGAAACACCATGATAAAAACAAGGGTCAAAGACGAGCATCTAGTGCATGTTTGAAAACGTACACAAAAAAACGCGTCTATAATGAAATATTATATTCAGCAAACGGATACGCGGCGATCGAGCGCATTCATGCGTGGATAGGCGGTATCAGGGCGTTGCTAAGAGGTTGGGTGATTCGCTCAGACTGAGTCCGATAAATAAAAATGTATTTAAAGCCTTATAGAAGTTATATAATATTTAATATAATAATTGATTATATTAATATAATAATTCTATATTTTATGTATTATATATTAATTAATTAATATTTCTTTTTTTTAAGTTGTAACTTTTAGTCTTTTAAAGTCTTAAAAATGTAAATGTAATATTTTTGAAAAAAAAATTCTAGGAATATTACGTGTATTTCAATGATCGGAGTGAGTGTTTTAGCGTGTTACTCTGTGTGTGGTCGCTCGGGCGCTGGTATGATGTTCGTTTCCTGTCAAAAGAATCAACCCTCAAGGCACTTTGATATTCTGGTCTGTTTGTGGCTCGGGTCTCTCCTTCAATACGCTCCTGTGGGATTTTCCCACTGTTTTCTGGTCCAGCATGCGTCTGGTCACTCTCAGTAAAGACGCGTGTAGTAAAGACACATGGTTTGAGGATAATCGTTCACGTCTGCGGGATGAGTAACTCGCTCAAGCTTAATTGGCATGCTTAGGGGGTTGTTTAAATATCCAGCCGTATGAGCAGTAGTAACAGCGGTACTTGCCTTAGCAAACACAGCTGAAAAGCCGAAGACCTCAAAGGCAAAGAGCGCAGAGTGTGCGTGCGCGCATCTCTCTCTCTCTCTCTCTCTCTCTCACGCTCTCTCTCTCTCTCTCTCTCTCTCTCTCTCTCTCTCTCTCTCTCACACACACACACACTCTCAAGCGTTCATCCGGACAGATTCTTCTTCTTCTTCTTCTCTCTCCAGTGGATACTGCGGGGAACACACGGATTGCCTATAGGATGGATTGCTGAAACTCCCTTCGCGAGATTACCCATTTATTTCCTTTCATTTCTCTCCCGTCTCACTATCTCGTCTCCATCCGTCCATCCATGAGTCCAGACGGGTTCTGATTCGGACAGAATGCGGATCCTGGTGTTGATTCCGCTGCTGTGGGGACTCAGTGAAGGGGCTTTTCCCAGCAGTGTTCAAATCGGTGAGTTACACTTCTAACATGATGACTAGATGGGCACTTTATTAACCCCACGAGGAATATCGCAGTGCAACAGATACGGTGTGCATATAGTGCATAATAATTCACAATAAGTAATCTATACACTGCGTTATACAAATACACAGAGATATGAGTCTAAAATAGGGGTTAAAGCTATTTTTTGCCTTAAGAGCCTTGTGTGCTGTAATGCCTCTTTGTTTTTTGGGGTTTAGGGGTTTCGTTCTTGCACTATTCTCCTTAAAGGACCCTAAAAAAGGTGCTTTTGAGCACCAAATGCCTTAAGCCAATTAACTTAAAAGCAAAAGATTATGGGAATCAAATTTAAAATGTAAAAATCAGACCACATATTGGTTGACCACTATTTTTAAAATTGTGACAATTCATTGGACGCAAAGGGGACAAATGAGGGGGACAGTGTCTTTTGTGGTTACAGCCCTGCAAAGTGTCCAAAATGTGGTGCTATTTAAGGATATTTTCTTAAATGTGATATATAATGGTTGTAGATTGGTTTGTAATTCTCTGCATGTGCAGTGTTATTAGGGAGGGATTATGTTTTCAAGGGTTTAGAGTACTTTAGCATGCATGAGTTGTGGTCATCATGATGAAGACTGTGGTCAAGTGCATGTTGAGTGCGCTTTTGTACCTTTCATCACCAGTTCAGAGCATCACTGCAGTATTCAGTCTTGTCTTCCTGGTGCGATGTGGGATGACCTCTTCCCATCTGAGTCTGATCAAAGTTTCCCATTTCACCAGATTTGCAGCCCTATGTTTGATTAATATCAACAAACCACTATGCATGCCCGCCCCCCGCGCCTCTCTCTCTCTCTCTCTCTCTCTCTCTCTCTCTCGCAGACACACAGTTCCTTCTCTTTTTGCAGGATGTGTCTTGCGTGTGTGTTCAGTCACTGCATTGCTCATTGAGATGGAGAGTCTCACGCCATAATGAGATGCGGCCGCTGACTTGTGCGCCTTTGACAGCACTGCCGATAAAGTTAATACGCTAAATACGGACACACACACACACTCACAGAGAGCGAGAGAGAGAGAGATGCACAGTTGCATGCAATGCCTAATGACATTTGCATACCGCTGCAATGCAAATGCACAATGCTTCTGTTGTTCGTCGCAAATAAAAGCACGTTATGGGATCTCCAATTGCAGTTGAGCCAAAACGTCCATCAGAAAGAGAGAAGAATTGGGAGGATGTGATGAAACAGAACGTGACACTGGCCCTGCCAAGTGCAGACATGCATGCTCTGGTGACACCAACAACAAATGTGATCTTCCACACAGATAATTTCCATGATTAAAGGGACAGTTCACCCAAAAATGAGCATTTAACTCACCCTGCATGTCGTTCCAATCCTGTTTGACTTGCTTTAATCTGTGGAGCACAAAATGAGATGTTTAGCAGAATGTTCACACTGCTCGACACTCTTATGAATAATAGTTCTTCATTTGGCATTGATGGTTCCATGAAGAAACATTAACATCTATGGATACTATCCATTCCCCCAAAAGGTTCTTTACGCTATTAAAAATAAAGGGTCCAAAAGGGTGTTTTTGCAGTGATGCCATAGTAGAAACATTTTTGGTTCCATTGTAAAGGCGTTTTGTTGGAATGGAAAGGTTCTTCATGGAACCACCAACGCTAATAAAGAACCTTTATTTTTAAGAGTGTATAGTGGAAAAGGATGCATTAGATTTTCTAAATGTTCTTCATACTAAGAAAAAAAATTTCTTACCCCTAAACGGTTCTTTGGGGAACCGAAATAGTTCTTCAATGGCATTGGCATCGCTATGAAAATCTCCTTCTGGAACCTTCATTTTTAAAGCAATAGTTCACCCAAAAATGAAAATTTTGCTTAACATTTATTCACCCCAAGGCCGTTCAAGATGAGTTTGTTTCTTCATCAGATTTGGAGAAATATAGCACTTGCTCAGCAATGGATGCTCTGCAGTGAATGGGTGCCGTCAGAATGAGAGTCCAAACAGCTGATAAAAACATCACAATAATCCACACCACTCCAGTCCATCAGTTAACATCTTGAGAAGTGAAAAGCTGCATATTTGTGAGAAATAAATCCATCAAGGCCGTTTCAAACTTCAAAATGTTGCTTCTGCCTAAAATACGAGTCCATAATCCATAATAACACTTCCTCCGGTGAAAAAGTGGTCTGGTCTGAATCAGGAGAGAAATCCGCACAGATAAAGCAGTGTTTACAAGCCAAAACAGCTCGAAACAAATATGTGTCTGGATTTTGATGTGAGAGACAACAGGAGATGGACTTTTTCACTGAAGGAAGAGTTATTATGGATTATGGACTCTATGTATTTTAGTTAAAAACGTCTTAATGCTGGATGTGTTTCAGCTTTTGTCTTCTCCAGATGTTAACTGATGGACTGGAGTGCTGTGGATTA